ACACACACACACACACACACACACACACACACACACACACACACACATTCTCTCTCTCTCTCTCTCTCTCTCCCCCCCTTCCCCCCGCACAGCCTATTGGTTCTGTTTCCCTGAAGAATGCTGACTAACACAGCAATGAAGGATTGCCCTCTGGTAATCAAATGCACGAAGGAAGAATGGTGGTCAGAGCCAGTGCAAGAGCCTTGATCAAAGCTGGGTGAGGACTGACCCATCGCAGAGGCGGTGGAAATGGATATGAGGGCACTCATTGGAGCGGTTTGGAAGGCAGAACCTGAAAATGGATAGGAGTAATTTTGGTTGGCATGGGAGGAAGTCAGTCAGGAGGTTATCCCTATTTTAGCACTCAGCATGCTCTACTTTGTGTCAGTGACTCTTTCTTCCATGTCCCCCAGGTCCCATCAAGATTGAAGGTTTGTTGATGACAGTCAGGGCTTTCATCTTTGTGTGCCCCTCAGCCTTCAGCACAGAGCTCTGGCCAAGTGAGTGCCATCTTAAATGTTAGTGACAATGAAGTGACCCCAGGAGGATAGGGTGGGGCATGCAAATCACATGGGTGAGGGTCTGTTTGTCACTGTGTGGGCATGCCACCTGGCACCTGAAGTGAAACTCTCTGCAAAGCACACGTGTGGAACAGAGGAGCCTGTGTGGGAAATCCCTTCTTGACACCCATGAGTGGTCACCTCATTAGCATCCCCAGAACAGTAGAGGGAGGGAGCCTGATCAGTAACAGGAGGCCACAAGGGTCCTGCTACTCATCCTGTTCTGGGCTGGGGAAGACAGACCAGTCAGGATTCGTGCTGAGGGGAGCCCAGGTTCTGGCCACTCACCGGCCTAGGACTCGCCACCTATGCCCATCACATGAGCCATAAAATGATGTGGAAGTTATCATTGGTGATAAATTCTCAGGGTCACCTGTAAGGGCATTTGTCTGGCAGGATGAGGGCTAAATATTGGCTCCTTTTATATTTGATTTACTTTTTTTGGAAAAAGTAATGCATGTAGAAAACTTTTAGAATATTTGAAAGTCCATATAATTAAAAAGATAAATAAAAACACCCATTGTCCCACCACCAAAGATAGCTTTTACCAAATTTTCATGAGTGTAAGGCAGCATGTCCTTTCCATACATATCAGGTGTATATATTATTTATCATCTATATGGTGTACCATATTCATACTATACATACAGCCATTACCAAGTAATGGTGCTTTTTATTTCTTCAGTTAATCACTAGGGTGCACTTCTATCCTCATATGTAGGACGTCCAGGATCTCATCAGATGCTCTTTTTTCTTCCATTGTTCTGAACACCAGGGGGTCACTCCGTCCAAAGGGAGCCAGACTTTTGGCTCAAACACAGTAGGTGACAAAGCAGGGTCTAATCCAATGAAGCTTATCTTTCTTGCTGCCGCATGGTATCCCTGTTGAAAACTATTTGCCAATTCCATGGCATCTTCAAAGTTCTAGGATATTGTCAGGACTGTTGGACCCACACTTAGGCGGCAAGGTTATAGCTCTCTAAGTTCACACTCTCACTGTCAAACATTGTTCCCAAAGGACTACCATGGGTTCAGATGGCTGCACTGTGAGCATCTTTCTGCCTCAACCACACACTCTCCCAGACTTGATTCAAACCCATAAGCCTCAGGCTCCAGAAATGAGTCTGAGTCCCCAGCATGGCATCCCTTCACCCTTCTTGTCTTTGGGGCCTTTAGAACCGTCTCCTACCAACAAAACATGGTCAGGCTTCTGCTGCTTCTGTAATTTTGACTCTTGGGTAGAAAGGTGTAGGAGTCTAGGTTACTTACTTTTCAGAAGATTCCAAATGCCGTATGCAAATGGGTTCTTCTTTTCCCCAGAAGTCAGCTCTGCATGTGGAGGAATATTTGTCAGGCTACAAAAGGTTTAATTCTATTGTTCGCCAAGGAATGTGCCAAACAACTAAGATCTTCTCTAAGGTGTCAGAGAGGACACTACAATAGATGGTTATATGACTGACTAAAAAGTTAGCTGATCTCTCACCTAGGAGGAGAATCGGGCCGTTTTGACAGACGCTTACATGGGGCTTTCCCTTTGGAGCCGATAAAATCTATTGCTCTCCCCACCCAAGTGTTGTCCTGGTGATTTGGGCCTCTCTGACTCAGTAGGCAGGCTTGGAAAGCCAAACATTGCCTCCTAGGGCATTGATGGAGTGCTCAGCTCAGCTCTTGCAATCATCAGTTAAAAACAATGGAAATGCTTCCAAACCTCAGAGCTGAGGATTCACTCTGAATAATAATTTTATGTGAAATTGACGTGCTTTATGTTCAGACTATATCCTGCGTCTTGTCGCTTCTTACCACCCAGGTTCAGGCCACTGTCATCGCTTATCTGGACAATTACAATAACCTCCCAGTTGCTGCTTGCATGCTTTCCCTCTGTTGTCTGTGCTTCACGCAGCAGTCAGGATAGATGGCTCAAAGACCTCCAGTGCCTTCTAACAACACACTAGAATGATATCCACACTCCCCACTGAGGCATGTGGACCCTCCAGCGTGTGACCCCTGTGAATCTCTCCAATCTTACCCCTTTCTTTTGTTGCTCCAGCTACCTACTTTTCTTGCTCTTCCTTGAGTAACCACACCTTTTTCTTCCTCAGGGCTTTTACTTGTGTTTTTCCTTCTCCCCAGAATGTTCTTCCTCCATTTCTTCATATAGTTCATGCTCTCAATTCATTAAAAGATGCTCAAAAGTCACTTTTGTATAGAGGACTTTAAAAACAGACACTACCTCCTGACTAATGTCCTTCCTTGCCCCCACCTGTGTCCCTGAATCACACAATTTTTCTTCGTAATTTTTACCATTACCCCCCCACGTTTTATACTTTATTGATTTGTTTCTTTATGTGTTGTCTATCTTTCTGGCATTAGAATTGAAGTTCCTTGAGAAAAGGCCACATTTACCCTTTCTGTGGTAGAGTCCACTGGTCCTAGGGCAGTGCCTGGCACATAGTAGATGCTTAATGAATGTGTTGTACATGAATAAATGAATAAATGAAACTGTTTCTCAAATCAAATACTCCTTAATCTATTGTTTCTCTAATCTTTTGGGTTTATAAACAGGAATGGTTAGCAATTTGGATAGGGTTGGGCCAGATAGCCCTGTTTCCTATGACACTGGCTGGGGTTATTCATTAATCTGCATTTAGCTGGTGCGTAACATGGGCTGGGAGATCCAGGAAGGCTTCATTCATATGTCTGGTTCCTAGATGCTCTCTACTAGGCCTTTTTTTCTCTGCATGGCTAACTGGGCTTCCCTACATCATGGTGGTCTCAAGGTGATTGTACTTTTTACATGGTAGCTGACTTCTAAGAGGGAGCAGCAGTCCACACACTGATTTCTAATATTACCTACTAGCTTTATGACACTGGGAAAATTATTTCCATTCTTTAAACTTCCTTATAGGTTTAAAGTGATATCTTTATAAGAGGAGAATGGAATCCCAGAACTTTATGACCTCTTTGCTAGGGACAGGGTGAGAATTACTTTTCTATTCACTTCCTTTCCACTTATTAGAACTATTGCTAAGTGAGGGATTTCTGACCAAAAGTGCAAGAAAAATTGCCATTTCAAAGCTTTATATCATTTAGCCTGGAAAATTCACATTTAAGGACCAGCTTGTGGTTATTGAAGGCAAAGCCCAGGAGCATGAAGTAAGACTAAGGGGATCTAAAAGTGCTCTGCATAACAAAGTGACAGAAAATTTCTGTTCTCTAGCCCTGGAGCTGAGAGAGAGAATGAGAGAAAGCTTGCAGTGGGAGGTTGAGATCCCAGGTACATGGCAGCCTTAGGCCTAGGCTCTAGAAGAGGCGGGTTGGCGAGACTGTGATATTAAACTTCAGCCTGTTTCCTTTTCTGTAACTGCTTCCATTATCACCAAACCTTCAGGAAAAGCTTTGTATTGGTATTATGTGGAGGCCTAAGGAGAAGGGGCCATGTTTAACCTTGAATGAAAGAGGCGAGGAGAGAGGACAACATCTCAGGAGGGAGAGGGAGAGGGGAGGTAAGCGATGAGCTGACAGCAGGAATTTGAAGAACATTTAAGCCCATCTTAGAAATACTGGAGAAAAGATTAGACTTCTCTGGTGTAGTATATTATGTAGGGGCTCAGGCTATTTTACTGGGGAAGACTGACCCCAGGATGCTAGCTAGTAGTGTTGAGGATATTCTGATTATGCATAAAATACTTGGCCCATTACTGACTAATCTTACATGGTGACTTCTGCTATTATTATTCAGAGTTGAAATAACTTGCCAAGGGAAATCAAGTTTGGTGTGGCAACCGGCATTCAGAACCAGGCTTATCTGACTCTTAATATCTTCATTTTTTTCCACTCTACCACATTTCTTTCAAAAACTAGGTACTTGCTACTAAGTCTTTATTCAGAGTATTAAAGTCAAATGAAGCACCTGGTGGTAACTTGCAGCCAAGTTAGATGATGATGCACCCTAGCTCACCCAAGGCAAGGCAGGGGCATTTTGGGAGCTGGCTGGGGATTGCCCAAGCACAATCTCTCTTATTTTGGGGTCAAGTCTCCAGAGAGTATGAGGCTCTAAAGTCCGTCGTTCCAGCACTTCTAAAATCTTGTTTATATGCTAATTGTACTCCACCTTCAGCTGGGGTTCTATCATTTGTCAAATAAATAGCTTTGATAATGAGAAAAGAAACTAGAAATGCAAATGAAAGGAGACAAAGAATGTGAGTGAGCTGGAGCAAGTTTAGAGGAAACTTATAAATTCCTGCTGAGAGCCACGTTGTCTCATATGTAAACTCACACCTTTATTTTTATTTATTCTGGCATCAAAAGCTTTCCTTGCATTAGTATTGATACTGCTAATGTTTTATGGGATGTAGAGGTCATAGTCACATTGAAATCCTCCTTCAGTGAATGGAGTATTCTTATATTTATTGAAACATATACTGAATTTGAGTCAGATTGCCGTTTACCCTTACCAAAGACCTGAGAATTCTTCAGGGGTGTTGGTGACCTTTAGCGCACCTACCATTGTTAACATACACTCCTCTATGACCCCAGAGAGTGAGACTCTTCAATCCCTTTTTCTTTTTTTCTTTTTCGAGATGGAGTTTCACCCTTATGCCCAGGCTGTAGTGAAGTGCCTCAATCTTGGCTCACTCTGCACCCGGGGTTCAAGCGATTCTCCTGCCTTTGCCTCTGGAGCAGCTGAGATTACAGGCGCCTGCCACCACGCCTGGCTAAGTTTTGTATTTTTAGTACAGATGGTGTTTCACAACTCCTTTCTCTTAACTGAGACCTAGATCTTCTTGAAGACCCAACTTCCTCCGCAGTCTCCACCAATAGAGGTGACTCATTCCATGCAGCCTCCTCCCCGGAAAAAGTTGCTGTTTTCCAGACTCCCACCTCCACCTCCAGAGCAGCACTCATTAACCTTCCCATGGAAGCTTTTTTTTTTTCTTTTAGGTCTTATCACCTCACTTATATCATGTTCTTTCCTCCTGGTCAGTGACATCAGCCTATGTCCTAGTTAGTTCCTGTATTAGGGTTCTCTTAGAGGGACAGAACTAATAGGATATATAGATATATATGTAATAAACTTATATATATGGGAGTTTATTAAGTATTAATTTACATGATCACAAGGTCCCACAATCGGCTGTCCACAAGCTGAGGAGAAAGGAGAGCTAGTTTGAATCCCAAAATTGAATAACCTGGAGTCTGATGTTCGAGGGCAGGAAGCATCCAGCACAGAGAAAGATGTAGCCTGGAAGGCTGGGCCTGTCTCTCCTTTTCACGTTTTTCTGCCTGCTTTATATTTGTTAGCAGCTGATTAGATTGTGCCCACCAGATTAAGGGTGGATCTGCCTTCCCCAGTCCACTGACTCAAACATTAATCTCTTTTGGCCACGCCCTCACAGACAAACCCAGGATTAATACTTTGTATCCTTCAATCCAATCAAGTTGACACTCAGTATTAACCATTACAGTTCCTATCCTTCCTTGATGATTTGGGGATATCTCTCAGTCATTGTCCCCATTTATTTCCCACACAGTCCTAGGATATTTTAACATTTGTCAGGCAGTCAGTCCGGCAACCCAGTCTCCAAACTGCTAGACATTGTTGACTCCCGTGTATTCTGTTCCTTTCTTCATAAACCAACCTTTGCTTGGGCAGTACTCCATGATTCTTCCCTCTGATCCCAATGTCCGGTCCTTGAAATATTCTTCCATTGCACTTTGAACTCATATGCACTTCCTGTCCTTGAGCACTCCATTTTCCTCACATTTTACTAACACCTTTCTGACTACTTTTTTTCTGTATACAACCTAGATCCCATGGGTTATACAGAGATCTGAACCACTCTTCTGCAAGCATCTTTGATTCCTTTTCATTTTTTATGCTTCTGTTTTACCACCTAGTAAAATCCCAACCTCGAATCAGTGGTACTATTACTCCCTATCTCTTTTGTTCCTGCACTTGAGAAGAGAGAAAAATATACTGGAAAAATAGTCATATAGTCATACAGTTGGTGTTGGTGTGCTAAAAATTTCATGGTCTCCCATCTCAGCTTGTCCCTTAGCACTGCCTCTCAATCTTTTGTCTTTAGTAAACACATTCTCTCATTTCCTTCAATGACTTTCAAATATGTTTTTCAATCCTCATACTCAACCCCTATTTCTTCACTCACAGCAGTAAATCAAGGAAATTCAGTGTTATTTCTACCCTTGAATATAAACTTTTCCACATTTACCTCAAATGGGACAGATTCTTACCCAATAGTTGTGCCCAACCATTTTTCCTTGATAACAGAACCCTGATTTGGCTTAGATATCTGATACCCATGTTCTTCAGGGTGATGGGTTCTTGCCTAGCCCCAGTGGATTGATCATAATTAGTCTAGCCCAAAACTATGATTACTTCATTTCCTTTGCCAGCACTCGGCTTAGACATGTGAAAAAATTCTGGCCATTGAATGGAAGTCTATTGAGGGACGCTGGGAATGTTTTTCTCTCTCAAAAAATGGAGCCCATAGAAGAGCTCTTTACCCCCGTTTTGTTCTGAATGTAGACTGGAGCTACTGCAGTGGTCTGTTTACTGTGATGGGAGTAGCTGATGTGTTGACGGTGTTAGTACAGAAGCATGAAAAGAAGCTGAGTCCTTGATGATACTGTTAAGCCACCAAATTAGCCAACTATACCTGTGACCATCCCATTCCTTGACTTTTTGATGTATAAAGTAATGAAGTTTTCTTATTCTTTAAACTTTATGTGGTTGGTTGGATTTTCTGTTGCTTGCAAGCAAAATCATTCTAAATGCTACACTACCCCTTTTTTCCAGTCCCTAAAGTCACTCTCCTCTTTTAAAGATCAGTCTCTTCACCTGTTTTCTTAATCCTGTTGCTTATTGCTTTTTAAAAGACTTTTTGCATCATTCATCCCCCTTCCATCCTGTATCTTCTACTTCTCCTTCTAAGTCTGTCAACTTACTTAGGTTCTCCAATGTTAAAAGTTTCCCTTGAACCACATCTTCTAGTTTTCAACAAACCTCTCTTCTCTCCTTGTCATACAGACTTTTTGGAGTCTGTTGTAATTCTCATCTCTACTTCTTGACGTCCCATTTCTTTTCGAGTTACTGAATTTCGCTTCTGGTTCCATCATTCCATCAATATCATCAAGTTAAAGTTATTAATGAGGACTTGGGAGGATCATGGCAGACGGGAGGCAGTACTATATTGCAGCTCTGGATAGAGCAGCCTGCGGAGGCTTGCACTGTAAATTTTAGCCTCAGATCAACTGCAAGAACAAACCAGCAATCCTGAGAGGACCCACAGAGCCTCTGAGGGAAGCAGACTGCTCCTGCAGGACTCAGGAGAGACCCCAAATACTGTGAGTACCCCAACTGCTGAAATGGGAAAGGGAGACCTTCCTCTTCCGAACACACACTCCCTGCTGGAAAAGTTGAAGGTCTGTTTGCAGGAGATATCCCCCACTTTACCTGGAACTGAGTCAAGTTAGAGAGCTGAATCAAGCAAAATACAAGGGTGGAGGAGGCAGCAGGGAGGCCCTGGGAACTTGCTGAATCCCCAAGCAGCCCACTCCTGCCTGACACCACAGGGATCCATCAGGAGGGAGGCCAGAGGAGCAGGGGGTAAACCCCACAGGGAGAAGGACTTCCGTAGCTGAACTTTGTACCAATTTGAGTGAGCAAGAAACTCCTGGCCAGAAATTGGGGAGGGTGCAAATCCTGCTTGCAGATGTCACAGGCTGGGGAAGAACTAAAGCTTTTTTCTTTCATAATTGGGAGGCAAAAGCCTGGAGCAAGTTTTCAAGCCCACCCTCCACCTGGAAACAGACTTGAGGCTGTTGCCAGGGGCATGGTGGGAGCTGGGTGAGGCCTGTAAGTGCTGGCTTTCCCCCACTTACATGAAAACCTGCATGATTCAGCAGAGGCAGGAATAATCCTCCTAGGTACACAAGTCTAGTGACCTGGGAATCTAATCCCATCCCCCACAGCAACCACAGCAAGACCTGCCCAAGGAGAGTCTGAGATCAGACACACCTAGCCCTGCCCCCACCTGATGGTCCTTCCCTACCTACCCTGGTAGCGGAAGACAAAGTACATACAATCTTGGGAGTTCTAGAGCCCTGCCCACTGCCAGTCCCTCTCCACACTACAACTGATGGTCTCTGGAAAGTGCCACCTCCTGACAGAAGGCCAACCAGCACAAAAATAGAGCATAAAACCACCAAAACTAAGAACCCTCATGGAGTCCATTGCCACCTTTGCCACCTCCACCTGAACACGCACTGGTATCCACAGCTGAGATACCCATAGACGGTTTACATCACAGGGCTCTGTGCAGAAATCCCTAGTACCAGCCTGGAGCTGGGTAGACTTGCTGGGTGCTAGACCCAGAAAAGAGACAATAATCACTGCACTTCAGCTCACAGGAAGCCACAACCACAGGAAAAGGTGGAGAATACTACATCAAGAGAACACACCTCGTGGGACAAAAAAATCTGAACAACAGCCTTCAGCTCTAGACTTTCCCTCTGACAGAGCCTACCCAAATGAGAAGGAAACAGAAAACCAGCCATGGTAATATGACAAAACAAGTCACTTTAACACTGCCGAAAAATCTCGCTAGCTCACCAGCAATGGATCCAAACCAAGAAGAAATCCCTGATTTACATAAAAAAGAATTCAGGAGCTTAGTTATTAAGCTAATCTGGGAGGGACCAGAGAAAGGCAAAGTCCAAAGCAAGGAAATCCAAAAAATGACACAAGAAGTGAAGGGAGAAATATTCAAGGAAATAGATTAATGAAAAAACAATAAAAAATTCAGGAAGCTTTGGACACACTTTTAGAAATGTGAAATGCTTTGGAAAGTCTCAGCAATAGAATTGAACAAGTAGAAGAAAGAAATTCAGAGTTCCACACTGGGGTCTGTTGGCGGGAAATAGGGGAGGGACAGCAGGGGGTGGGGAGTTGGGGAGAGATAGCATGGGGAGAAATGCAAGATATAGGTGATGGAGAGGAAGGCAGCAAATCACACTGCCATGTGTGTACCTATGCAACAATCTTGCATGTTCTGCACATGTACCCCAAAACCTAAAATGCAAAAAAAAAAAAAAAAAAAAGAAAGAAATTCAGAGCTCCAACACAAGGTCTTTGAACTAACCCAATCCAACAAAGACAAAGAAAAAAGATTAAGAAAATATGAACAAAGCCTCCAAGAAGTTTGGGACTATGTTAAATGGCCAAACCTAAGAATAATCAGTGTTCCTGAGGAAGAAGATAGTTCTAAAAGCTTGGAAAATATATTTGGGGAAATAATCAATGAAAATTTCCCAGCCTTGCTAGAGTCCTAGACATGCAAGTACAAGAAGCACAAAGAACACCTGAGAGATTCATCACAAAAAGATCTTTGCCTAGGCACATTGTTGTCAGGTTATCCAAAGTTAAGATGAAGGAAAGAATCTTAAGAGCTGTGAGACAGAAGCACTAGGTAACCTATAAAGAAAGACCTATCTGATTAACAGCAGACTTCTCAGAAGAAACCCTACAAGCTAGAAGGGATTGGGGCTCTATCTCCAACCTCCTCAAGCAAAACAATAATCACCCAAGAATTTTGTATCCAGTAAAACTAAGCAAGGAAGGAAGATACAGTTGTTTTCAGGCAAACAAACGAGAGAATTTGCCAATACCAACCCACCACTACAAGAATCACTAAAAGGAGCTCTAAAATCTTGAAACAAATCCTGGAAACACATCAAAACAGAATCTCTTTAAAGCATAAAGCACACAGGACTTATAAAAATACAGGTTGAAAAGCAAAAACAAAAAACTGTTGCCAAAGTATGCAGGCAACGAAGAGCATGATCAATACAACAGTATCTTATATTTCAATACCAACATTGAATGTAAATGGCCTAAATGCTGCACTTAAAAGATACAGAACTGCAGAATGGATAAGAACTCACCAACCAACTATCTGCTCCTTTCAGGAGACTCATCTAACACATAAGGACTCACATAAACTTGAAGTATAGGGGTGGAAAAGGGCATTTCATGCAAATAGACATCAAAAGTGAGCAGGGGTAGCTATTCTTATATCAGACAAAACAAACTTTAAAGCAACAGTGGTTAAAAGAGACAAAGAGGGACATTATATAATGGTAAAAGACCTTGCCCAACAGCAAAATATCATGATTCTAAACATATATGCACCTAATACTGGAGCTCCCAAATTTATAAAACAATTACTAATAGACCTAAGAAATGAGATACACAGCAACACAGTAATAGTGGGGGGCTTCATTACTCCACTGATGGCACTAGACAGTTCATAA